AAATAACAATGAAGAAGCAATTAATATAAAAATTAAACAAAACAAACTAAAGTTGAGATTTGGAAAAGGAATTAGAAAAAACATTTAAATTTTAAACCAAACACACGTGCTTTGGACTTCCTCAAGTGATTGGAATCACACGGACAAGGTCAATCAAAACATGACTGTTCATCTTCGAAAGAAAAAAAAGAAGAGACAAATGCCATTAAGGACGAATCGGAAGAAAAGAAACGAAGAGCAAAAGAGCCGCAAAAGAAATAATAAGAAGAGGAGAAAGAGTAGGAGATGAGGATCGGAGGAAGAGAAAAAGAAGAAGAGATCCGTAAGATTTTGGTCGGCGCTGCTGCAGTGGATCTCTTTCCTTGATGTCTATCGTCTCTGTAGCGTCCGCTCAGACGTGTTGCCGCCGCTGCAATAACCGCCGGTGCCGCGCGACCGCGCGCCTTCCTCATCTTATTAAGTTTCGGCGAGCAAGCCCTGCCGTCCTCATCGTATGGCTGGATGTGTTTGTTGACTGAAAGGCAGAGGTAATACAGAGTAATATGATAGGGGTAAATTGGGAAGGCACGGAAAAATAAGTCCTATTTAGAAGTTAAAAAGCTTGGACTCCTATTTAGTTGCATTAAGTTTTTTTTAGTCCTATTTTACACCATTTCTCACCATTCAACATCAACGATTGGGCGAATGTTCATAGTGAAGTATCTTCTTTCATCTACGATATACATTTGCTTTTGTTATACAGGCCTAGCAGCCGATGACAAATCATATCTTTGAATTTGAGGATCATTTCATATCATATCTTTTGAATCAAGTCATATATGCACCATACAGTTGACCGTTTGACTGAACGGTCCACATACATGGTCGTGCACAAGAAGGTACGAGCTTAATGCATGTGGTTTTTTCACCCAAATTCAAATTTAGTGGCTTCTTTATTCCCAAATATTTTCTAACATTCAACATAATAAGCCATTATTGAGTGCAAAAAAATCCTAGCGGCTGTCTTCCCTCTTTGTAGGGGTTGAGATTTTCCGCCGCCCCTATCAAAATGGGGCGACAGATTATACTGATTTTAAGCGTTCTAACGCTTGTGTTTGCAGCTACATCAGAGGAGATTACATTGACAGATGAACGAGTTGTGGCTGAGAGTTTGTATAGGTTCTGCATCATGCAGTCTTGGTCGGTCGCTCCGACGGTGATGGAGTTAGTGTTCACCCATATTGCAAGAATTCGTCCTCCTCCGAAATCACCTCCGTTCTAGGAAGAGTTTTGTGGAAATACTTCAATATTATTTTCTCTTTAGTAATACTTGTTTTTATTTTAGTCTGAGTAGGTTTGGTTTGGATGTATGGATTTTTGGAGTTCTTTTGATAGACAGAGTTTCAATTCCAATTGTGTTAGACTTAAAGTTGCCCGTTTCAGGTTTAGCGAGCCGAATTGCTTTGTATGAGGTGATTGACTCTATGTCTACTTTTAGGATTCACATTGAATATGTAAAATCTGTTTGAAAGTTGTCCTGTGTGTTCTCGATTTTAATATAAAAACCACTTGTTATGATAAAAAAAAACATTCAACACAATATTTTTGAATAGAAATCAAATTGATTGGCGAACCGTACATTACTCTTGATTCTGTACCAAACTTGGGGTTTTGAGATCTATATAAACCCCCTAAACTCTTCTCGTTCCTTGCAACTCAAGAGCCACTTCTCTATTTCTCTATTGTATACTTCGTACTATTTCTTCAACTATTCTTTTGACTACTATATCACCCGTGCGTTGCACGGCGGGGACGTTTTTGTTATAAATGTAATGCTTATGTAATTCGTGAAAAGATAAATTGACAAATATCTCAACTAACCTGTGTGCATGCATGTAGGAGGGGATGAATATGTTTTATAAGAAATGCATTTACTTTATAAAAGTATGAAGAAAAAGAAATAACTCAAAGAATGTCATTGTGGCACATATGTACATTAATATTTTTAAGCAATTCAAATGTTAAATGAGAAGATTAGATAATATTTCTATATTTAAAAGTATAATTAAAAATGTGGTCACAAATTCATTACCCCAATATTTAGGGAATATTTTAAGAGCCCGTTTGGTAACAATGAAATCGGCTGAATCGGTTGATTCTGTTGAAATTTATGAAGTTCTGGCTTAAGTGGTTGTATTGGTTGATTATTCTGATTTATGAAAATATTAAATTTAAAATATATTTTATAAATAAAATGAAGAAAAAAATTATATGTGAAAGTAGTTAAAATGGACCCCCTACAGTAACTTAAGGCGAAACAGCCAAAAAATAACTCCAACCTTACTTTTTCTTATTATTACACATTTCAGCGCGTGAAATCAAAAGTTACGTGTTTGAATAAAAAGTTAGTTGATAAACCTGATAAGCCGAACAACAGTGTTACCAAAAGGATTCTAAATGAATTTAAACAAATTAAACAGAAAATACTTGTGTTGTTGGGATTATTACTTTATCAAATTAGCTTTGTCATATTGAATTTTTTCCGCAATCTAATGCACAAGTAACTCCATGAAATAAATGAGGCCATTTTATCTTATTAAAGCAATTAACTCCATGAAACTCATTCGTTTTCTAATACTCCATGATCCTACGAACACTAAACAACAAACTTAATTAATTTTAATTTAATACGGAGTAATTGAAAAGGTCAAAATAACGGAAAAGATAACGAGTAATGCTAAATAACGAGAGCTTTTTCTCTCTTTCTAGGATAACGTAATTCAAAAAGAGGGATTCTAAATAAATAGTCAACTTTTAGAACAAAAAATTATATAAAAAGTGTCGATTTTTTTAGGTCAGCTAACATGAATCAACTTATGACTTCGGAGCCAAAACGAAAACAAAAATAAGAATAATTAAAAGGTAAGACATGATAAAAAGATAAATATATATATATATATATATATATAATAGAGATACTATATATATATGTTTATAAAAAGAATATTTTCTCTAAAGTTTATAAATGTCATATATGTGTCATATGAAAGATCACAAAAAATTATTTAATTCAATATATTTTTGTCAAAATTGGGGAATAAATGAAAATAGTATGTAGTATAACGACGCCGTTTGGTAACACTATTTTTCGGTTTATCAGACTTATCAGCCAACTCATTCACCAAACACATAACTTTTGTTTTCGAACGCTGAATTGTGTAATAATAAGAAAAAGTAAGGTTGAAGTTACTTTTCTAGCTGTATTGGCTGAAGTTACTGTAGATGATCATTTTAGCTATTTTACATATAATTTTTTCATTATTTTATTAATAAAATATATTTTAAAAATACTCTTTTCTTAAATCAGCAGAATCAGCCAATACAACCAGTTCAATGTCCAGCCAGAACTTCATAAATTTCAGGAGAATCGGTTGAATCAGCCAATTTTCGTGTTACCAAACGGACTCAACATTTTATAAAACATAATTGTTCGACACCTCAATCTAATACGGAGTAATTTAGTCATCATTATTAGAAATGGTTAATGGGGTTTGTTTTTAATTGCAAGGATTAATTATACGGTCCATTTTGTTAAAAAAAATAAAGGGGACATAATGGTGTGGTTAAGTTACGTTTAGCAATCCTTTTTGACATGCCTACTTTTTCCTTTATAAATAGATCGACCTCTTTTTCGTTTTAAGAGTTTTTTTCAACAACAAAAAAACGGTAGGTGTTTCATACGCGTAAAAGGTAACCATGCTCAACTATTCACATGATTCCGTTAGTTTAGACGGGTTGGATTCGAAGGTGATCTGATCATGTTGGGATGGATTATATTTACTCAGTCATCCCCCGAACACTTTATTTCCCCGCCAAATGCGGAAAGCTATTTCAAATATATTCTTAATATACCCGGTATCATGATTCCATCCATAATCAATCGAGATTAGGCACCCCTCTTGTTTCTCCTTGGGAATCGTAGGGCAAACTCAAAACTGTTTAGCTACGGCCTGTTTGGATTGAGTGTTGAGGAGTGTTAGTAATGGAAGTGTTAGTAAGTGCTGATGCTAACACTTGTTTGGGAGAAAAAACCAGAGGTGTTAAGAAGTGTTAGTAATGGTTAGGAAGTGTTAATAATAACCTTCCCAACACCTCAATTGTCCATTTTTTTAACACCCCGATTTGGAGTGTTTTGAGGTGTTGGACAATTATTACCCTTCTCATTTGCCCGAAAAACATAAAATGCTTCGACATTTCACTTCAAATGTCTTTCCCACGGGTCTGATGGTTTGTTTTTTCATCTCTTCTCTTTACTCTTTCTTTACTCTTTCTTTAACACTTCCATTATTAACACTTCATTCATTTGAATCTCCCAAACAAGGTAAAATTATGTCTAACACTTACACTTCCCTTCCCTTCCGAACCCTTACTAACACTTCCATTACTAACACTTCCAAACACTCCATCCAAACAGGCCCTTAGGGTTTTTATTCATTTTGTCAAATTGCATTCTTTTACAGTAATTCAGGCTTTGTTTACAACCACTTGTGCTTAAATAAAAGCACTTTTTGGAAAAAAAATGATTAGTAGTAAAAGTTGGTAGTGTTTGGTAAAATAAGTGCTTTTTGTGTAATAGAAAAAGTAAAAAGTAGATTCTACACGAAAACCGAGAAAGTAAAAGTTGGTAGTGTTTGGTAAAATAAGTGTTTTTTTCTTTAAAAAAAAAACAAAAGCACTTATCAACAGAGATTGCAAACAGAGAACTACATATTGTTTTAATTATGTAAGTACTTGTTTAAATTAATTGTTTTAGCAGTATCCAAGTAGTTCACTTCAATTATAAATATCTTCTGTAGTCTGTTTTAACTGGTGATATCAAACCTAATATGGAATGTTTAGTACACAGCTCTAAGCAAAATCTTCTAATCCAAAACGAAAAGAGGTAAAAAGGAAGAGAAATTAGTAACCTCAAATTGGCGTTTTTTATTTTCTTGCCCCTGCCCTCCTACATAGTAGAACACTAGAACTGTAGAATGCATCTTTGCAAATTGGAATAATATACATTTCCTTGTAATTGTTTCTCATGCCAATATGCATCTTTATATCCCTCTTCCAGATTATCTTTGCTTTCAAATATCTGGGAACTTTGTTCTCCTTTTTATTTTTAATTTTGTATAATCAACTAAACATTATGTACTTCCCTGAGTTTTCCTATATCTTGTGCCAGATTTGGCCTAATTTCATAGCAATGAGAAGCCACAAGTATGCTAGACTCTCCCTAGTGGATCTGCCAGAGAACCTGCTATCAGAGATTCTTATACAATTGCCTATTCGATCGATTGTTATGTGCAAGTGCACATCCAAAACCTTGCACCATTTGATCACCTCAACTAACTTTTCCAGACTCCACTTTGCACGAGCAGACACATGCGTTCTACTCCAGAACTGTCTCCCTTCCACTGTCTCAAGAACCCTCTACTTATTAGAAGCATCAGAAATCGACACCAACTATTGCCATTGTCCTCGGGAAAAATTAAACCAAAGTGCTAATACGATGAGACTTGATACCAAACTGAAGCTTCCTTTGGCAAACGGAAAGTTGCACAGTGGAAATGGCAATGCCAAAATACATGAAGCATGCGACTGGAAGTCTGCGGTCAAACAGAACCCTATTCTCTATAAGTTCAAAATTGTGAATTCGTGTAATGGTTTCATTTGTTTGGAAGACCCTTTGCTAATGCTTCCTACTGTTGTCTGCAATCCAGTTACCAATGAGTATTTAAATCTTCCGGATGCTAAAGGCTTTGTTTTTAGCTCATGGCCTTCTGGAATTGGATTATGCCCCAATAGTAACAAATATAAGGTATTCAGAGTGATAATTGGAAAGAAACTACATGTTGAGTGTCCAATTACGGGAAAATGGTGGAATACTAACATGGAGGCTCAGATACACACCTTGGGGACAAAATCATGGAAAAGCATTGGCTATGCTCCCTATATCCATCCATCTTATATTTCACCTACCAATGTGAGTTTGAATGGGACCATGTATTGGATAAGTAAAGTATATGATGATTCTACTTCTAATGATCCATATAATATTATCTCCTTTGACTTTAGTGATGAATGCTTTAGATCACTTCCCCAACCTCCTGTAACTGGTAGAGGTAGAACGTGCTTAGGAGTGATTGGCAATAGCTTATGTTTATCGTCTAGGTTTGGTGTTGATTCAATTGACATTTGGGTATTGAAGAAGAATTGCGGGGTTGAAAAATCTTGGTCAAAACTGATCTCTATAAGTCCTCCAGTGTATGGTCTCAGTCATTTCGTAAGCTGTTCAAAATGCGAGGCATTTTTTATATTCGGTATTGTTGGAGCCGAGATTGTATACTGTGATTCTAAAGGAGTAAAAGGGAAGAGTTTGAAATTTCGAGGTGGGGGGTTTACGGCTGTACCATTAGTTTATACACCAAGTTTTGTCTCACTCAAGAATGTTGTGCCTCAAGCTGATGTTAAATCAATGTAAAATTTGCTCACATACTTATTTTCATCATCATAATTTAATTGATTCGTATTTGGGAAAAGACATGTCTTGAAATTTTTGGTGATAGGTTTTTTTTTTTTGCTCACAGATCAACCGGCTTCACCTTGCCTGGGGAGATTTGGTCTGTTCATCTGAAGCGGAGAGCAGTCTGAGTTCAAATGGGTTTTTGAAAAAGTTTTGTAGTGCATTGATCTTTTTGAAAAAGCGGAGATTTTTTATTAAGGATATTTTTTGGAGAAAAAAAATTTGGGTGCTGTTCTTTAGTTTGTGTTTCTGAAGAGGTTTACAGTATCATCAACTTTTCTTCAGAACTGTTGCATTTGCTGTTTGTTATCTAGGAGTGTTTGGAACTGATTCTGTTTCTGCTTCTATTTTAAAGCAGAAGCAGAATCAGAATCAATTTTCAGAAGCTGGTCACCCCACCTTCTAAAAAAACTGATTCTAAGAGTAAATTTGAGTACCAGAATCACTTTTGCACTTTCACCCAAACACTCCAGCTTCTGTTTCTGCTCACTGAAGGAGCAGAATCAATTTTAAGAATCAAATCCAAATACCCCCCTTTAATGTGATAAGAATTCGAAGAAAAATTTGAAGTGGCTACAAAATATTTGCTTTTTTACCTTAAATCTTCAAAGAAAACAGATAAACCGGATTTAACTTGCCCGATAGTCAACAGATGCAAGAGATGTAGTTTATATCCAGGAACCATAGCTGGACCAATATTTGAAGGACATGTTTACTAACAGAGATATTTTGCAGTTTTCTATTGCTGTTTTCTGTTCTCAAATTTTCTGTTTTCATTTTCCTGTTTTTCTACCTCCAATTTTTTGTTTTCATTTTTTAGTTTTCTATTTTCAAATATGAAAACATGTTCATCAAACGTTTTAACCCGGTTCTGTGACCGACCAGAAAACCGAAAGTACGGTAGCAGCCCAGAACTGAACATAGTACAACCCAAGTAAAATACCAGGTCCCATGTATAGGAAAGTCGGGATCGAAACCAGTTGGTCTCGATCGATCTCAACGGATAGTTTGACGAATTCTTTTCTCATTTCCCTATTGGTTGACAATTCAACGGCTCTTTTAAAACTCTTCACTTTAAAAGTGATTTAAAAAATCTGAGACCGAACCACCGGGTCATTGACCGGTGCGGACAAGGACCAACGGGACTGGTCCAGACTGCCCGGTTGTCAATCGAAACGAACACAGACCGTCGGGTCATTGGGCGGACAAGATAGGGACCACCGGATCATTGATCGGACCATTCGGACGGAACTAGAACTGACACCGAAACGAGACCGTATCCACTATTTGGCGCAAGTATGCAAATCCATTGCAGCAGCATTGCAACATTCTAAAACTGTAAAAGTCACTTCCCCAATTCATTAAGGAAAACAAAGACATATTTCATTTTTTGGTTTTGGAAAACGATTTGGTAAACGCATTTCTCTGTATCTCTTTCTCCAGTTTTCCAGCAATTTTCTTTGACTTATCCTTGTGTAACCTCAGTTACCCATGTCCTGACATGCTCACAAAACAGCTCGTCGCAAGTCTTTTTCTAAGAGCATTGGGTATTGCACCATTGCACATACTCTTTATCAAGCTCTATTCTGAAATTTGTTAGGCGCTAGTCGGACGGCTGAGAGAAGCCTAACACCTACGCGTTGACTAGGTGCCGACTAGGTAGATTTTTTGGCTGATTAATCCTCCACATTTAAGACTTGGGAGTTAGGAGCCACCTAGCACCTAGACGCCGACTAATCAGACCGACTTGACCAATTTTTAGAACAATGGAATTAATTAATGTTTTGGACCCGGCATGATTGCACTTATAATTTATGATTTATGAACCTTTGATATCATAATGGACAGTACCAGGTCCAAAACCAAGAGCACCTACAGATATTGCACAAATGATCTGGCCAGAACCAAGATCACCCATTAATATTCCAATTTTCCCAATACCACACAAGCCAACCCAGAGCAGAACCGGAACCATGTCCTCCACTGATCCTGGTGTATGTCCTCCGTACAGTAGCCCCCATGGTAGCCCCGCTACAGTTTGGGGTTTCACTGTACAACGAGACAGTCACAATCAAGTTTAGCAGTGGTAGTTTGTTTTGCCCATGGACAAGTTTTACCTAAATGTTTATTTAGTTCAGCCAAGGAAACGGTAGTACAACACAACATTAACAAAGATGGGTGATGATCAATAAACAAACAACTAAACAGAACAATCTCATCTCAAACAGTAATAAAATAAGTCCATGCTTTATCTAAACTTGCTGGGATTAAATGGCTGCTACGTTATTAATCAACAGCAATTTAACTGCTACCCTGGCTGTTCACTGCACCTCTTCCACCCCACCATTTCTCTTAGTCAGAAATCCATTTAGACCACCAATCGTCAACTAAAAAGTCTACCATCTCCTGTAATTAAATAAACCAACTTACAAGTTAGTTTCTTTTCTTTTTGTACAACTTGATTCTTCTGTAGCATTAGACTAAAAAAGATCATGATCAAACGGGCAAAACAAAAGTATCGAATTAAGATATCACATTAACATAATGCATAGTACCAGAATAGAAACATGACTAACAGAATATTGCTTCCTTGATTGCTTACATATAAAGGGATTCGCTTTGGGAAAGGCCTAGAAGTTAACAGCACGTCCTCATATCTCAGTGACCACCAACTGCACACGATTTTAGATGAGATCAGGCCATAAAAAACAATTTTAACCAAAAGAAAACAGTCTAATGAATTATAGAGCTAAGGAAACATTCGGGCACCCTTTAATTGCTTCACATTGACAATCATATTCTTGCAAATATAGTTTAACCAACTAAGAGAACCATTTGTTACAAGCTTTAATGAGTGCTAATGTTTGGCATAACCACAAAGGCTTTGCTTAAAAATACAAACTATAGTAACATGAAATAGACCATTTCTCCAAAAAACCATAGAAGGTAATTCAATGAGGTTCCATGGAAAATGCAGATGCACTGACTTTAAAAAACAGCAAAGGGTTTGGTCACTACTCGGAATTTGAAACCTTACAGTTCCTGGAAACAAATGGTTTTTTGAACTTCTAGCATTACTATTTGTAATGATAATAAAAAAAAAAAGATTACGGCAAGATTGGGGTTTTTGCTATCTTCTTTGGCTTCCGTGAAGTGTCCCCAACCCATTGTCTGCGGGTTTCTTCCCAAGCTAGGGCACCTGAAACACAAATCATGTAACAGGAGATGTTTAACATAATATGCAAATATAATTTAGTCAGCTGCACTGTTCATAGCTAATGCTGAAACCATAAGGCATTAATAGGCTCACCATAATTAATAAATACAGGAGGCACATTTGCAACATTTTCTGAATCCTCCTTGTGAGTTTCTGTCTCAGATTTGGATCCTTCCACTTGTCGCTCCTTTGGATTGGGAACATCAGTATTTATCTCCATTCCAGTTCTTATAAAACTCATTACCCTTTGAAACCCAAGATTGTCTCTCAACCAATGTGTTCTCAGAGTGATGCAATTAAGGCTGCATTTAGTAACGATACAAAAAAAAATGATTAACAGTGTAAATAAAAAAAAAATGAAATAATAAGAAATCTTTTCAAAACTAAGATGCATTATACCAAATGGGGAAACAAAAATAAAGAATGACTAGTATTAATATAAAAATCTGAAATTATCCAAACCAGTAGATACAAAGTGGAAATTACTACATGGCTGATGGTTCAAGTAAAGAATGGTCTATTAGTCACATTTCCCTATTCTTAGCTAAGGCCACCCTTACAACCATGGAAGAAAGATAACTCATTAAAAGAAAAAGGAAACAGTGGCCCTGTTCAGTAGTAAGTTCTGTCTTATTCTGCTTATCAATAGATCAGTTTTTTACTTATTTGGCTGAAATGGAGTTACCTAATGTTTTTCCTTTTAGATAATTTAGCAGATCTAATCATTTTCAGCCCAATAACCTCTTACCAAACAGGCTCATTAACTTCTAACTATTATTCTTTCAGGCGGTGGTCCATCCAAGGGATATTGGCTAGTACTTCAAACTGCATTTAGGGCAAACCATTCCTCGGTAAATAGAATTCTAACCTTCGGAATTCAACGAACTGGCTCTTATTTCAAAGATAAATTTGTTCCAATTCAGATCTTAAACATAATAGTGCGAAGTTCATTAAAGGAATTGCCAAAGATAACAGAAAAATTGCTACAAATAAAAAACACACCATAGAAACCCTACACATATATATATCACATTTTGACCATTCATCAATCCGAGATGACAAGCACTGTCTTAATTTCACAGAGTTTCAAAAAGAAGGCTAACATTACTGCTTTCTTGTCCGCTCAATTCACCAGCTCGAAGGCTAATCCACTTTGAGATAGAAAATCATGAAACCAATTAAGCTAACACAACACTCTATGAAACCATATTAAGCTCCACATCTAAGTTAATCTATAACTGCTATAAGATCTAATATAACTACATACATGCACCTAAATTTAAGAAACTTACACATTGCAGAGGCAGGGAAAACATATACAGAATACAAAATACAAATTCTACTGGGAATCAATTCTAACTACTATTGACATAGCAGCACAGTAAAAAATAGAGCAAGAAAGATATTCAAAACGAAGGCAGAAAGTGAATAGTCAAACCTAGTGGGTGTCCAACAATGAGAAGAGAAGAAAGAAAGATAGAGGTGGAGAGTATAGGAAAGGGGGTACATATAGTGGATTAGTGGGAAATTTCTTGAGGCTGACTTTAACCCCAATAATACTTTAAGCTATTTTTGCACTTGGTTTGTTTGGTGTTATTGGCAGCTTGGATCATAAATGCAAGAGGCGTAGGTAAGTAATGCAGTTATCAAGATAAATTAATTAGAGGCAATGAGGTATGGTCAAGATTAAAACATTAGCAACATACATTCAAAAGTGGCTATCTTTGCAAGACCGACCAAAATATAATTTTGGACTGTCTTTGTGTGACACATAGATCAGTTGGTACTTCTTCGCCTCATTTTAAGTGTCTCGGTATCATTCATTGGTAAAAATACATCTTCTTTTTTTATTAAATTGAATACCATTTCTGTCCATTTCTTCAGGACAATATTCTGTTGTTGATGTCATTTCTATCTTTGGAAAAAAATCCACACAATTTCTACTTTCTAAAAACAGCACCAAGTTAAAATTGAAATTACGGAGGAAAGGAGTGTTTTACAAAATCAATTGAACATGTTAAGTAACGTATATCATTACGTGACACGTTAAATAAAGGAAGATAACATCACCATGCACGATTTTGGCATACTTTCTCTCTCTCTCTCTCTCTCTGATATTTCTTTTTCAAGCGGACGTGGATCTGATGTGGACAAGATACCTTATTTGAAGATAAGCTATCAGATTGACTAAAATGTCATCCACTGATGCTGCTGAAAATTTGAAGCAACCCATAATTCGAGAATTGTACACCCATTTCACAAACCTATCTATATCTGTGTTATGGACCCATCCATGGGCTGATTAAGTTATGGAGCATAAGTCTTTATTATTATTAATTTGATTAGTCTTTTACTCTTATGGCCTATTTGTTTGGGGGTCAACCTAGGTTATTGCAGGTTTAATTTTTAGTTAACCTCGTTTGTTTGTGTTTTTGCAACAAGAACCTAGGTCATGAGTTAACCTCACATAACGCCCGAGAACCTAGAAAAAACTTAAAATGAAAAACCTCCAAAGTGGAAGGTTTTGGAGATTAAGTTCTCGTTTAACATAAAATGAGCTAGAGTGCACTCATCCAAACAACATTTATTACATTAACCTAGGTTCACTTTATTTATTTCGAAACACTATTTTACCATGAACCTAGGTTCACTTAGGTTTATCTAGTTTTTGTTCAAACTTAGGTTTACTTTATTGCATTGGGTTTACTTAAGTTCACTTTATACAAACAGAGCATTAGAGTTATAGAATAGTAAGAATTTTGGGATTTAGATGATATTCTGTTGTCTGATTAGAACTCTATATCCTTTTATCTTTGGGATATTTGTCTCTAAAAGGTGCATTAGTTGGAAATTGGGATGGACGGACGGACGAACGGACCGACAGACCGACCGACGGACAGATAGATAGATTTTATATATATATATATATATACAGAAAAGATCATGTCCATCCGGAGGGACGGGAGGCTCCGTCCGAACTTTACTGTTTGGGGCGGGAAGTCATGCTTCAAGAAGATGTGCGCAGATGTGCAGTATGTTTCAAGAATTTATTTGAATGCCTTCCCGATTGAATTTTGAGTTGAAATTTGGTATGGATAAACTAGACTTGATGAGGAACATGCTAAAAAAATTTCATCAAAAAAATCCACCGGGAACCACTCCAAACAGTAAAGTTCGGACGGCACCTCCCGTCCCTCCGGATGGACCTGAGCATTCCTCTCTCTCTCTCTCTCTCTCTCTCTCTCTATATATATATATATATATATAGGGGTGAGTTCTAATGCAAAGAGGTCTTCCCATAAAAAGTGAGAAGTGATCTAAGCCCTTGATTACTTAAAAATGGATGGTATAGATCAAAACTCACGGTCAACCAAAATGTGTAATACATAATAGCAAAAGTGCATATGCAATATCTAATGGTGCACATTCAGCTACTAAAAAAAATATCAGAAACTATAGTTATACTTCTTATTTTTTTTCCTAAAAAGTGGTGCTCTTTTGTGTTAGTCTAATGCACTTTTCCTCCGTAGTCATGCACATTTGTCACATTATTTTTTAAAAAAGTTTTTGATAATTACACTTTTGGCACCGAATTTTACCCTTAAAAATTGATCTCATCCACTCATTTTCTCATCTTAATGGCTAAAATTACTTCTCACTTTTCATATGAGGAGTACTTTTTATTTGAACCTCCCTCATATATATATATATAGGGGTGAGATCACATACTAACCATTCCTCCCATGCTAACCTACAAACTATCAAAAACGGTGCATCTTTACATTACTTGTACTGCATATTGAAGTTCAAAGTGTTGCATATTATTTGTACTGCATATTAAAGTTCAAAGTTTTGCATATTGTTTTTATTGCATATTGAAATTCACAGTGTGCATCTTTACATTATTTGTACTGCATATTGAAGTTCAAAGTGTTGCATATTATTTGTACTGCATATTAAAGTTCAAAGTTTTGCATATTATTTTTATTGCATATTGAAATTCACAGTGTGCATCTTTACATTATTTGTACTGCATATTGAAGTTCAATGTGTTGCATATTATTGAATTAGTAAGTTAGTATTTTAAGCATGGTTAGTATGTGATCTCTTATCTATATATATATATATATATATATATAATGCTGGAAAATTAATGACTCAAATAAAAATAGATAATCAACATTAGATGCCTACCACGTCGTGATTTTAGAGGAGAGGTTCTCAAAATATTACTCACTCGGTACCAATAAGATAGTCTCATTATTTCTTTTCCGGTTGGTCCCACTAAAATTGTTCCATAACCAATTTTGTAATGTTTACCTGGTTCAGTGAAATTTTCTATTTTCCCTTTTCAGTCCTGGGCTCCTAGCTACTGCATGTCTCAGCATCTCAGTCACAGGTTTAATACTTTCTGCAAACATACTGAGGAAAAAACGGTTAATGAATTCATAAAGAGCATTTTGAAAATATAATGACACTTGCAAAATTGAATGAATAAAAGACACTCTTGAAACTTTACTGTCTAAGAGATTCTCTGGTGCTCAATAAATACTCCACTGTAAGCTTTTTCCCTTGCCAGACTTAGGGTTTGCATCTTTTGCCTGACTAGAAATGCATCTTCCCACTTGCCTGCATCTGCATAAATATTATACAGAATGACTCTGCTTGGCCCATGGGATGGCCCCACTTTTGCCAAGTTCTCAGCTGCTCTCTTCGCAGTTTCTGTGTTTCCGTGTGTTCTGCTTGCTGCTAAAAGTGCACCCCATACTACAACATCGGCCTCCATAGGCATACTCTCTATAAGCCTTTCTGCTTCATTCAACCTTCCGGCTCTCCCCAAAAGATCCACCATGCAACCATAATGTTTGATGTTTGGTTTTATTCTATAAAACTCCTTCATCCTCTTGAAATATTCCTCACCTACTTCCACAAGCCCAGCATGGCAGCAAGCAGTCAAGACACCAATGAATGTGATTGGGTTGGGTTTTATGGTATTATGTCTCTCCAAAGCAGAGAAAATTTCAAGTGACAGCTCAGCATGACTGTGCATAGCTAATCCACATATAATCGCATTCCAAGGTGAGACATCAGTTACTTTATCTTGGATTTTGTAGAACAGCTCTAAAGCTGTATCCACAGTGCCACATTTAGCATACATGTCAATTATGGCTGCACTCAGATTGTCGTTTAAAGGAATACAATTCTTGGATATATACTCATGGGCCTGTTTACCATCTTCCAATGTCCCCAGAGTAGAAATCGCAGAGAAGACACTTACCATTGTGATTTCATTTGGTTTTATGCCACAAGCCACCATTCTATGGAAGAGGTCCAGTGCTAAAACTGGCTGATCCGTTTGTGAATAACCAGATATCAATGAACTCCAAGAAAAAACATCCGGATCGGGCATCCTGTCAAATAGAGACCGACCTGCGTCAACTTTACCATTTCTAACTAGTCCTGCAATAAGAGCATTCCAACACACGGGATGGTCCTTGTTACCTAATTCAAACTGGACACAAGCAAGATCAGTTTCCCCACAAGCAGAATAAAGATGGATTATTGTTGCCTGGACAAAGTCATGGCTATCCAGCCCTGTCTTCAATGCCACACCATGAAACTGCTTGCCCTCTGAAATTGCCACCATTCTTGAACAAGCAGAAATCAAATCCACAATCATAATATCATTAGGTTTCAAGCCAGTACGAAGCATTTTCATATACAATGTCAAAGCCTCATGTAACTTTGCTGCAAGGATATAACCATCAATTACAGTACCCCAAGAAACCACATCCCTCTCGACCATCTTCTCAAAAAGCTCTATCAATGGGTGTACAAGCTTAGCCTTTGCATAACCATTTAACATCACATTCCATGTAACAATATTCCTTGCCGGCATTTCATCAAACAGAATATTAGCATCCCTGAGAGAAGCACTGACACAATAGACATGTAGCAAATTAGTGGAAACGTGAACAAACCCATGAAGACCCAGCTTCAAAACCAATCCATGAAGCATTCTCCCACTCCGGACCCCCCCAGATTCCAAACAAGCTGATATCATACTCCCAATAGTCACCTCATTGGGAACCAGTCCCAAGCATCTCATCTCTCTAAAAACATGGATCGCCTTGTTCAAGAATCCCTTGCGAACTAAAACCATGAGGACAGTAGTGTACGATGCACAGTTCTTATGGTGCATTTTATCAAACAGTTGGCATGCCTTATCTACACATCCTAGTTTAGCATAAGCAGAAAGCATAATGTTACAAGAAACGGGATCTAACCAAGGGAGCAGATCAAATATTTTCTTAGCATCGTCGACGGATTGACATTTTGCATAGAAACTCATTAAACTGTTCACAATGAAAATGTTGGTATCAAGCCCGGATTTCAAGATAAGGCAATGAAGCTGCTGGCCTTGGGGGATAGAGGAGAAGGCCGAACAGGATTTCAAAGAAGAAACCAAAGAAAGTTCGTAATCAGGGGATTGAATAGGCCCTATTTCTTGTCTTCTGGAGTGAATAATTTGGGGACTAGACGAAATGAACCGGCAGATCACCGAAACTGACATATGAAACTGGTTCTTCAAGATTTTTGGTATATACAGACACTTCAAGCATCGTATATATCTTCCTATCATGCCCACCAAATACTTAGTCTTCAGCTTCTGTCAACGCTCAAGTGCTCAACAGTTCCGCCATGCACAACCTGATCCAGCAAATGTCTGGCTTTGAGTTATGGAATTCTTGTGAATCATTTGTCACCTGAGAGGCAAAGCCTTCTTATTATTTGTTGTGATATGATGAAAAAATAAACATGTACTGATATACAATGAGTTGATGACCTTAAACTAGGCATGTGATATGATGAAAATATAGTTAAATATCAAAAAGGCTGCAAAAGATGAAAAAATGGCAATGAATCAATACCACGTTGGATTTAAATATACAAATACAAAAAAAATGGAATTGGCGGTAAGAAACCGAAAACAAAAATTGGAAGTGTAATGGGCAGTCAATCCATTACAATTTATCAATACCAAAAAACGGAAACATAATTTACTTAAAGTGAATTAACTGATTGAATCAATATCTTGGGAGTTGCAAGATAAGGTTACAAATAAACGAACAAACCAATTGTTATTGAAAGAAAAGATACAAAATTTAAGAGTATTTAAATTTTATAGATAAATGATTGAAAGATATTTCAGTTTAACTCTTGTTTCATGGCATTGTTTTATTTCAATATTTTCCTGGAGAGTCTATAGTCAAGAGTTTTAAACATGAAATCTCTATATAGCTTTGTTTCTGTACGCTAACACACACATACAAAATAACTGTGGATGCATCATATAATGAAGGGAAAAGTAGCAAATAAGCCCTCGAACTAACCAAAAAAGTGCAAATCACCCCTTATGTAGGAGATTCTGTCCGGCCGTCGCCATTTGGGGCGGTCCCCAGTGGAATTTTTTGATGAAATTTTTTGAGCATCTTCTTCATTAAGTCTAGTTTACTCATACCAAATTTCAGCTAAAAATTTAACTGCGCACGATCATTTCTATACTCAAAAAATTAGTAAAATAACCACACATGTTCAAGAAAGGTGCTGTAGAATAAAAAAGACTCTGAATTATAATAAAAGTCATCATCTAATCCATATAAAGGTTTAATCCCAATTCTGTTACTAAGCCCAATTATGTTAAGAAATCTTCACCTACTCTGTTAAGAATAGAAACATATTTTCAATCCTCTCGTAAGCCTTCATGTGTGTGCAGTTTTGTTTTATTCACCCTAAAGGCCTAAACAAATTTTCTCTATTAATTTAGTACTCCGTATTTCTTTTGTAAAGGGGCAGTGAAAACAAAAGAGAATTTGAGAAGCCTTTCATGTCATCTACCATATCTTCAATTTCAAATGCTCCTATCAAGAAAAAGAGCATTTTAGGGTGAAAGGAATGAACCATAATTTTTTATGCTCCTTCCAGAAGTCCCCAAGACCCTAACTGATAGACCAACACAAATATAATACACAAATCTTCTTTAACTAACTAATACCAAAATTGCACTTGTGAGTTCAATGATGATTCACCTTCAAAATAAGGAATCCCATGAACAAAGTTCAATACGAATTAGACAAAAAAAAAACAAAAAAAAAAATGTACCTGGATGGTTAGCGGCTCTAGACGGAAACGATATGAGCAGGCGAGCAGTGGGCTGAGGTTATGGCGTGGTTCTGAGCAGCAGGTGAGGTGCTGGCTCAATTCGGAGTGCTTGGGTGAGGGTAGGGCGAGGTTGAGTGGGCTGGGAAACGGAGAGAAAAGAGTACACATCATAAAACATCACTCAATTGAGCTGGACGATTGCATCAACATTTTTTTTTATCCCTTAAATGCCCTAACCTTCATTGTCAATTATAAGATTGTAAGAAATAATTAACACTTTTAAACGATAATTTAATCATTAAATATTAAAAATAATACATCTATAACATCATATTTGTCATTAATAACTCTATTATATTATATACTCATCAAAATTATTTTCAAAGATATACTCGAATAACCTTATTTAATTATTGTCTAAATAAATGTGCCATTTTACGATAGGAACCTTTAAATTGGAGACATGTAGTACTAGCTTTGTTTTTAGACATTCCATTGAAAAGTAATAGAAAATTTGTGAAAAGGGGTCAAATACACCCTCTTACTATACCAAAAACATCATTCCAACCCTTCTACTAAAAAAGCAGATAAATACACATTCTACTAAAAAGCAAATAGTGGATGGTTCTCTACCTTCGGTGAGTAATCTTCAACGGAGAGGAGTTAATATTTTGGGGGATGTAAATTATGTGGTACTGCGGAGGAAAACACGAATCATCCTTTGCGTGTATGCCTGAAGGTGATGGAGGTTTGGCAGAAGGTGGGGGTAAGCGTGGACGCCCAACAGGTCGAGTTTGATGACTGGTTTCGTGGCCATATTACCTTGCAAACCGGTGAGAAGTGTAGCTTCTTTCTGGCTCTAGTATGGAGTTTATGGAAGCGACGTAATGGCACCGTATGGGAGGGAAAGGAGATGGAGGCAGTTGAAGTGATCAAGGTGGCACCGAGCATGATGACCGCATGGCTGGTAGCAAATGAGGTGGCTGGAAACCGTGGAGTGCAGCAGCGGAATCTTGGGGAAGAAAGCAGATGGAGGAAGTCAAACCCGGGTATTTTGATGATTAATGTTGATGGAGCTATTAATTAGGAGGGGGGAATGCATGCTTGGGGTTGAGTGGTTAGAGATGAAAATGGTAATTTTCTTCGAGATCGAGGTGTATCCAGGAGGGTGGACTGGTCGGTGGAAGAGATGGAAGTTATGGGTGTTAGAGATGCAGGGTGGCAGTGGGTTGAGACAGAGACAAATTCGCTTACGGTGGTTGAGAATTGTGAAAGAATTATTGTATATAAGAATATGCTTTAGGAATATACTCTAGACATTATTATAGTATAGCATCTTATGTAGGAATATTCTATATAAGAATATGCTTTAGGAATATACTCTAGACATTATTATAGTATAGCATCTTATGTAGGAATATTCCTTCTTTGTAACCTATATATAGGGTCTTAACCCTCTTATATTAAACACACAAAATTCTTCCATTCTCATTACTACTATATGCTTAATTCTGATAACATGGTATCAGAGACATTAGGAAAGATTTAGTTCCTTTTTCTTTTAAATTTCAGCTTAGTTTTTCAGACTGGGTTCTTTCTCAAAGAAACCTGATTTCAACTCAGACTCTCCAGAACCTCTAGGCACCATTCTGTCTCCCAGAAACTCACTCCAGGACAGATTTTTTTTTAGCCCCCCTCTATTCAGAACCTTTGTGCAGACCATATCCCCCATCTGTGCCAGGTGCTCGCAGTCTGCAGTTCCAAATCAGCACCCAAGTCAGACGTGCCTCTGGATTTTTATTCCAGCCCAAAACGGGCTGCTGTAAGTTTTCATTAAATTAAATATCTCAATTTTGAATTTTATTACAGTTTAAAAAAAAAAAAAAAAGAAAAAAAAAACAAAAAAAAAAACAAAAAAAAAAATGCCTGGTTCTGACACCTCCACTGTAACACAAAGTCAGCCTTTGATAGTTTCTGAAGTTATTCCCATTAATTTTAAAATTACTGAGAATAAACTTTGTGGCTCTAATTATCTTGAATGGAGTAAAACTATCAAACGCTATTTAAGGAGCATTGATAAATATACTCACTTAGTTGATGACCCGCCAAAGGAGGAGGTTGATAGAGTTGCTAATACTGCCTGGCTTCGTGACGATTCTAGATTATTTATCCAAATTCAAAACTCAATGGAGAATGAGGTAATGGGGTATGTTAGTCATTGCGATACTGTGAAAGAATTGTTTGATTATTTGGAATTTATGTACTCTGGAAAAGGTAATCTTAACCACATCTATGAGGTGTGCAAAGCCTTTTACAGAGCGGAAATGAAAGATAAGCCTCTCACGGCTTATTTTATGGATTTCAAGAAAACCTATGAAGAGCTGAATACATTAATGCCATTTAGTCCTGATATCAAAGTGCAGCAAAAACAAAGAGAACAAATGGCAGTGATGAGTTTTTTGGCTGGTCTAACATCTGAATTTGAAACAGCCAAATCACATATCTTATCTAGTGATGAGGTCTCTTCTCTTCAAGAATCTTTCACTAGAGTGCTTCGCACCGATACTTCATCCACGCCAGTAGCACCTCAGACAAACAGTGCATTTGTAGGGCAAGTTCCAACGTTTACCCAAGGAGGTGAGAAATGGCCACGTACTGGTCCATCTGGCAAAGGCATAGTATGCAACTACTGTAAGAAGCCTGGACACTTGATCAAAGATTGTAGAAAATTAAAATTCAAAAATCAAGGAAATCAAGTTGCTCACATTGCTTCCGCTACAAAGTCTTCTGATGGATCAATCAGTATGTCTTCTGAGGAATACGCCAAATTTCTTTGCTACCAAGAGACTCTAAAGCATTCATCTACTCCTATCTCAGCTGTCGCTAATTCAGGTAATCCAAACACATGTCTTGTTTCTTCATCCTCAAAATGGGTCATCGACTCAGGAGCAACCGATCATATGACAGGTAATCCTAATCTTTTTTCTTCATTCCACACACCTCTTCATACTTCTACTGTCACTTTAGCTGATGGGTCTACCTCCCCAGTCTTAGGATCGGGAACAATTGTCCCAACATCCACCTTACCTTTGTCACCTGTCCTAAGTCTTCCAAACTTTGCTTTTAATTTGATTTCGATCAGTAAAATCACGCGTAAACTAAACTGTTCTGTAACCTTTTTTCCTGGATATTGTGTATTTCAGGATCTGTTGACGAATCAGATTATTGGTAAAGGATATGAGTCGGCTGGTCTCTATCTTTTGGACACATCCTTACCTAAAACCATCTCCTGTCTTGGGGTTGGATCTGTGTTAGAGGCTCACTATCGACTAGGACATCCATCTCTCCCTTTGTTGAAGAAAATTCATCCTCAATTTAATAAGGTGTCGTCTTTACAGTGTGATTCGTGTCAATTTGCAAAACATCATCGTACTAGTTTAAGCCCTCGAGTCAATAAACGAGCACATGCTCCTTTTGAACTTGTTCATTCTGATGTTTGGGGAGCTTGCCCCGTTGTGTCTAAAATTGGCTTTAAATATTTTGTTACCTTTGTTGATGATTACTCTCGTATGACTTGGATTTACTTTATGAAACGGCGTTCTGAGTTGTTTTCTCATTTTTGTGCCTTTTGTGCTGAAATAAAAACTCAATTTAATGTTCCTGTTCGTGTTTTAAGAGGAGACAATGCTCAAGAGTATTTGTCTGCCTCGTTTAAGTTGTATATGGCTCAACATGGCATAATTCATCAAACTTCATGTGTAGACACGCCTCCTCAAAATGGTGTGGCTGAACGAAAGAACAGACATCTTTTAGAAACTGCGCGTGCGCTTCTTTTCCAAATGAATGTGCCTAAACATTTTTGGGCGGATGCTGTGTCTACCGCATGTTTTTTGATCAATCGAATGCCATCTACTGTTTTGGACGGTAAAACTCCGTATCAGTGCCTATTTCCAAATAATGAACTTTTTCCTATACCGCCTAAAATATTTGGTTGCACTTGTTTTGTTCGCAATGTTAATCCTCATTTAACAAAGTTAGATCCCAAGTCATTAAAGTGCATTTTCTTAGGTTATTCTCGAGTTCAAAAGGGGTACAGATGTTTTTGTCCAAGTACAGGTCGATATATTGTTTCGATTGATGTCTCATTTTATGAGAATACACCTTATTCATCTCCAGAGGCAGATATTTGTAGGGAGAATGATGATATACTCATTTACACAGTCACCATACCTGAGTCCACTGCTTCGAAAATTACTCCACATCCTACTGTTTCCGACCCCAGGCCTCCAATACAATTGGTATACACACGTCGACACAAAGCACCAGATCTTCCCCCGCCTGTGATTCCTTATCCTGATATTGATCCGATCTCGACCTCATGTCCTGAACCAATAACTGCATCTCCAGATCCTGTCTGTACATTAGATCTTGACCTCCCGATAGCACTGCGCAAAGGTACACGATCTTGTACTCATCCTATTTCTTCTTTTGTGTCGTACAGTCAATTATCATCTACCTCATGCTCTTTTATTGCCTCCATTGATTCTATTTCTATTCCCAAATCTGTTAAAGAAGCTTTGGCTCATCCGGAATGGCGTCTTGCCATGATAGAAGAAATGAATGCTTTGGATCTTAATGGTACATGGGATTTGGTATACTTGCCTACAGGGAAGAAATCTATTGGATGTAAGTGGGTCTTTGCTGTGAAGGTCAATCCAGATGGATCTATTGCTCGGTTGAAAGCTCGATTAGTTGCGAAGGGTTATGCTCAAACCTACGGTGTAGATTATTCTGACACTTTTTCTCCTGTTGCTAAATTAACATCTGTCAGGTTACTTATTTCACTCGCAGCAACTCATGGTTGGCACTTGCATCAGTTAGACATTAAAAATGCATTCTTGCATGGTGACCTTCAGGAGGAAGTTTATATCGAGCAACCTCCAGGGTTTGTTGCTCAGGGGGAGTATGGGAAAGTTTGTCGACTTCGCAAGTCTCTTTATGGTTTGAAACAAAGTCCGCGTGCATGGTTTGGGAAATTCAGTCAAACAATTGAACAGTTTGGAATGAAAAAAGGACAATCAGATCACTCTGTCTTTTACAGACAAACGCAAGCAGGTATCACATTGCTTGTGGTGTATGTTGATGATATTGTGATTACAGGGAGT